TTTCTCATTTAGTGCTCTGAATATATCCTGCCAGTCCTTTCTGGCCTGCCAGGTCTCTGTGGATAGGTTTGTTGCCAATCTAATGTTTCTACCATTATAGGTTACATATCTCTTCCCCTGAGCTGCTTTCAGGATTTTCTCTTTGTCTCTGAGACTCATAAGTTTTACTATTAGATGTCAGGGTGTTGATTGATTTTTTTCAGGGGGGTTCTCTGTGCCTCCTGGATTTTGATGCCTGTTTCCTTCCCCAAATTAGGCAAGTTCTCTGCTATAATTTGCTCCAATATACCTTCTGCCCTCTCTCTTTCTTCTTCTGGGGTCCCAATTCTAATGTTGTTTCATCTTATGGTATCACTTATCTCTCAAATTCTGCCCTCATGATCCAGTACTTGTTTATCTCTCTTTTTCTCCGCTTCTTTATTTTCCATCATTTGGTCTTCTGTATTACTAATTCTCTCTTCTGCTTCATTTGTCCTAGCAGTTAGAGCCTCCATTTTTGATTGCACCTCATTAATAGCCTTTTTGATTTCAACTTGGTTAGATTTTAGTTCTTTTATTTCTCCAGAGAAGGTTTCTCTAATATGTTCCATGCTTTTTCAAGCCCAGCTAGTATCTTTAAAATCGTCATTCTGAACTCTAGTTCCAACATCTTACTAATGTCCGTATTGATTAGATCCTTGGCAGTCGGTACTGCCTTTGTTCTTTTTTTTTTTTTTTTTTGAGGTGATTTTTTCCATCTTGTCATTTTGTCCAGAGGAGAATAGATGAATGAGAGAACAAAATGCTAACAGGGTAACCACAGCCCCAGAAAAATATACACTAAACAAATCTGAAGAGACCTTCCAGAAAGTGGTCGCTTTTCTGTTCATAGAGTTGCTGCTATTCTTTTCTTCGATCTTCTGTTGAGTTCGTAGGTGTTCAGAATGGTTTGATCCCTATCTAGCTGAATTCCTGAGATGAGATGAAATTTAGGTCTCCTACCTCTCTGCCAACTTGCTCTTCCCCCAAACCTGCCTGGATTATTTTAAAAAGCCACTAAACTCTTCTCACTGCTGACCCTAGTCTCTTCCTCACATACCTTGTTTACTGCTGCCAGGACCATTTATGAAAAACCCTTTGAATGGCCTTGCATGATAAAGAAGATAAAAATATATTTTCTCACCCAAACTGAGAAGCCATTGAGAATGAAAGTCCTACTAATTATGCTCAGGAAAGAGCTACCCATGGGGACTGTTCCAGCAAACTGGGACTCAAGGTCCCCCTCAAAGGAGACTAAAATGGCTCTCTATTGCCAACCAGGCCAGTCAAGCCGCCAAACACTTGAGGTCCATAATATAGCAGCACCCACCTCTCCAGCTCTCTCTCACCCCTGATTTGGGTTCCTACTCAAATACAACCTCTGTAAAGTGGCCTCACTCCATGTAACCTAGCACTTCTCTGTCTTTTCCCTATCTCTTCACCCTGTTTTATTTTTCTCCATAGTACCTGTTACTGTATGTATAGTGTATATAGGGTGTATAGGTTATGTGTGTGTATAGGGTATATGTGTGTGTATAGTGTATATGTGTATATATACGTTAGCAATAGCTGTCTGTACCCACTGGAATGTAAGCTCCATGAGGCATTAGGCTGTGACCTGTCAATTACTGTAGATCCAGTGCTTCAAAGAGAACCCAGCACATGGTAGGAGTTCAATAAATCATCGTTGAGTAAGAGAATGGTTATACTTTCTACTTTGGTTGGATCAGGTCCCTTTACCATCGACCCCAGTGTCCTCTCCCAAGCCTGCTGTCCTCAATTAGCCTCCAAGTCATGGTTCATGATGTTTCCTCTGTCTTCAGTGAGCCTATTGCTGTTCTTCTCTGTGAAGATCCAACTATGCCTCCAGGCTTGGCTTCCATCATTTCTCTTTTTGAAACTTTCTGTCAATACTCTGCTCCATACCCTCTCCTGTCCTGGATGAAAGCATATAGTTTTTAATATTAACTGGCCTGTGTGCCTTGTGGGGGCAGAGAATCCTATAAAAAGTCCTTATCTCTACAATATGCACAAAAGTGGTATACTACCTCAGAGTTTTAAAGAGAATGAAATGAGGGATAATTCATGTCAACTTAAAGCAATATGCAAAACACACTGTAATCAACTATATTCTAATCACATTCTTTGTGTTTTGTACTAAGTCTTCAGCATCTAGTATATATGGAATATATACTTAAACATAAAAATATACTCTTAAACACCTCTCACTTCAGATAAGAGCCACATTTAAAACTGTCGGTAGCTGCAGGTGGCTAGTGGATGCTGTTTGGACAACAGCTTTAAAGAAGCGAGCAATAGCAGACATAAAGGAGCAGCCACTCCCTCTAGGTCTAAAGGAGAGCACTCAAGGAAGGAACCTGGAAGATCCATCCCTTCCCCAAAGCTTACACTGAGGCTTCTTGGAGAGGGAGTGGCTGTGGCCCACTCGGGTGACAAAGACCTTTGCAGAGATCCTGCAGGCTGGGAGGTGAGTAAACCACCTGCTTACGTGCTAAAAAGTTTGAAATGAAGTCTCCCTTTGTGATGTAAGGGGAACTTGCTGGAAGGCTGCCTATAGGGATGCCGGTGAAACCCGCTGGAGGGTGTCTGCCACAGGGTCAGCCACGTACCACAGGATGGGAAGGTGCCCACGGGAAGGATGCTGACTGCTGGTGGCCACACTGTGGAGCAACGGGGAAAAGTACTGGAACCAGGAAGGAAAGCCCTTCTCTTTCAGTGTCCTTCTAGAACCCTCTAGAATGCTGTGCCAGCTGGAGAAATGTTTATGGAGTCCTGCTCAGGAATCACAAAGCAGGGTAAAAAGTAAAGATCTGATGCTGAGAGGCAATGAATGAGTGGCCCAAGCACAATTCTGTCCTTCTCAACCACACTTCCTCTCACAAAGATGAAATTCCTATCAGGCCGTTATCCTCTACTCAAAGGAGATAGCAACACTTGGCTCTGGAAAGTACAAGTGTTCCTTAGGGCAACTCGAGGGCGCTTTAGCCTGAATGCATTGTTACCTCAGGAAGCGAAACATCACAGTTGTCAATAGAACAAAAATGCGATTTCAGGGGTAGAGAAGGGTGGGAGAGCCGGGTAAGCCCTGCACACTAACTCAGTTCAGAGAAATTCCTCAAAGCAGATGTGATGGATAAAAAGTTTTGCACACTTTTTAAAGCTTTCTGAGTCTCGTGGGATACCACGTTCCCTTCTTTCCTTGCTACAGAGGAAGTCCTTCGAAGGCCAACATGGAAAAATGTGAAAGCAGTAGATAGAGTAGGTTTTCAAGGTTTTGGGTAACGTGCTTATTTTGTAGTGACCCTCTGTACAAGTGCTTGAGTGAATCAATTGTGATGTTAAGAGTCAACAGTTTTTCTCTTATTTTCATGCAGGATAAGTCAGCCAGCAAAGAAAAATCCAAGACACTAGGAAGAGTTTTACCACAGTTGGCTACGGTAATTCACCTATATCCTCTCAGTGGATCTTTGCCCTTCTGAAAATGTGGTTTCAAACTTGTAAATAAGTAACTGAACATCTGATTTTGAATTTTGTGCTCCATTTGATTATTTTCTGATGGAGAAATTCGACAAGGTGCACATAGTAGGAAAAAGAACAATCTTAAAGTAACTGTAAATTATCATTTCCTAGTATGTCCAGAGTATGTCAGTATTCTGGATAAAGGAATTTTCGAGATGGACCAGCAGCAAGTTTATCAGTGTTGGAGTCAGGAAATGAAGCCTCAGCTTACAGCTTTGTCACTAATGGCTTTAGGATCTGAAAGGGTCATTTATCTCTCTGAGCTGCAGCTTCTGAGTTTGAAAATGAGTTTCTTTGAGCTGTATCTTCCAGCACTGAAATGCTATGCCACAGAAGAGTCCTCTGATCTAGGTATCCTTTCTAAAAATTATTATGATTATAAATTCTCATTGTCCTATGGTAGAGGCAGTTCATAGGCATTTTCATTTGGTAAGTGCTGGGTACAATATCCTTCACTGTAATAAATTTTACTAGTAATTTTACTAGTAATTATGTTGAGCTTAATGCCATTGAATTGTGCTCTTGTGACTCCTCGAAGTGGAGCTTAAGTGGAGGTTCAAGGCAAACAGTATTTTTTTCTGACTGTGATAAAATATACCTAACAAAAAATTACCATTTTAACTATTTTTAATTGAACCACAGTTCATTGGCATTAAGTACACTCACGTGGTAGTGCAGTCATCAGCACCATCCATCTCCAGAATTCTTTTCATCTTTGCAAACTGAAGCCCTGTACCCATTAAACAGTATGTCTCTGTTCTCCCCCCACCCCCCCACCTCCCGTGTCCCCCTACCCCATGGTGGCTGGCCTTCTACTTTCTGTAAGGGACTACTCTAGCTACCTCATATAAGTGGAACCCGACAACATTTGTCCTTTGATAACTGGCTTATTTTACTTAGCATAATGTTATCAAGGTTTATCTAAAGCATTATTTTTTGAAAGATAATTTGAAAGCTCTAAACAAGTATAAAATTGAATTTGTGCAGCTTTTTGTAAAGAAGTTCCCTGATAATTTAAAATGGATGACCATTTTCCCCTTGGAAAACTTGAGTTAATGTTCTTAAGTGAATTACCTTGAACATTACAAAATACAAATTTTCATTAAAAATATGCTTCTATGGGGGCACCTGGTTGGCTCAGTCAGTTAAGCGTCTGCCTTCGGCTCAGGGCATGATCCCAGAGTCCTGGGATCGGGCCCCATGTTGGGTTCCTTGCTCAGCGGGGAGTCTGCTTCTCCCTCTCCCTCTGCCCCTCGCCCTGCTTGTGTGCTCTTGCTCTCTCAAATAAATAAAATCTTTAAAAAATATGTTTTTATGGATAATGCCAGTTTATCATGCCAAGTTCTGTGAAATGGAGCCATATAATGCTTTCCCAAGTTCTACAAAATCAATTGTAAATTTTCTAGTTTAAAAGATAAGACTTGAAATAGGCATTTTCTTTTGAGAACTTAACAAATATTAAAGCTGAAAAAGATAAAAATTGTCCTTAGTTTATTGTGTCTTGTTAATATGTGGGTTTAGAAATATAAACCTAAATTTTCTTATTTATCATTCTGTGGCTGAGTTGTATAATAATCCTTTCTTGTTGGTGGCATCTAATAGTCTAAAATGTTTTTGTTGGCTGCTTTAAACCTGGTTTTTAAGAGATGTTTTAAAATTCCTTTGATTAAAAAATAGCAAAATATTTTCATCTGAATATTAAGGTTTGCATTTGGGTGACATTTTTCCAGCAGTAGCTTAGACCTAGAGTGATTTTCATTACAGAACTTCGTGCTTCTGGAGTGGAAATCAAGGGTGACTCAGCACTAGTGGTCTCAGCCAGTGACCTGCTTCTCACCCTTCCTGTGCAGCTCACTCATAGCGCTCCCACAAGTCCTAAATCCTTTATGGAGCAAGATGAGCATACAGAAATGGAAGGACAGACTGAAGGATGGAAGGGCATTGATTTTTAAATTGTCTTAACTTGTTTTCCTGCAAAAGGAGAGACTGAAATGAGGACTTGCATATAGTAAGTTTGAGTAAAAGAGCAGTAAAAGGAGTAAAAGATTGGAGAGAGTAAAACTATGAAGAAGCAGCCAGTGCAAGTATAAGCTATCAAGCTGGTCTGGATCTGAAAGGAAGACACAGACTCCGTTGTTAGGAAAATGTAATATTACTTTAAAATCTGCCCATCTGTTGGGCTCTGGGCTCAGCAGGGAGTCTGCTTCTCCCTTTCCCTCTCCCTCTGTGATCTCTCTCTTGCTCTTACTCTCAAAATAAAGTCTTTAAAAAACTTAAAAACAATAAAATCTACCCATCTGGGTTTATTGAAGAATCCTAGGTCCCAGCAGCAGTGGGTCTGTGTTCCGGTATTAGAATAATTGGCTTGAGCTAATTTTTGTTGTCTTTTTAGAAGACCTAGGTATTTTCCTGTTTTCCCACAGTCCCCACCACCCTCTATTGATACCCAGCACTGAAGCTGAGTGCCAATTAGCTATCATCACTAGCGTTCCTCCCTCTTGTATGATATCTGCCCGGCTCTTGCAAGTATAAGAACTTATGAACCCTGCATTAAACTATGGAATAAATTTGTGAGTGGCCAGAGAAATCTAGAGCTGCCTAGAGCCATGAGAACAGAAATCTTTTGGAGCTGGAATGCAGAGAAGCATTGAAGACCAGCAGCGTGTTCCTCTCATTAAAATGGAAGGCTTAAAAATCACTTGCCGATATTTGGGGGTGAGTAGGCTCTCTGGAATGAACACCCCTGTGTTGGGTAACAGCTGCCCACATCACGCTAAGAGCAGGGCCTTTGGTACCGTCTCACAAATGTCACACACCGCAGCCGTTCACAGGCTTGAGTACGATTTGCTGTTGAGTGTGCCTTCTTTCCAGATGTCCTGATGTGTTCGAGAAAATGTCTGTGTTTATAAACACTCATGCATTTCGTGAGAAAAGGTTGTTTTTTTTCTTTTCCCCGATCTTGTTTTATTAACGCTGTTTAAATTTCCTGTTTCAGGTGAGTACAAAGCCCCACTGGCAGCAGGCAGCTCCATCATTCCATTTGAATATAAAACAGGATGATGAAATTCCAGAGCCATTTAGTGTTAAAAACGAGCAGTCATATGGTAAGAACTTTATTCCAACTTAGTTCTAAGGAAATTTTCAAGAGGAAAAAAAAATCACTACAACATTTAGTTGAGAGTAGTGAAATTGTAAAAGTGAAATGACATTTATGTCAAGTAGAAAAATTTATCCCAAATGTTTTCCCTCATAAAATAATTGATACCAGTTCTTAATTATTTCAGGCTGTTGTAAATGCTATAAAAGGTGATATTTTAAGAATTGTGTGGGGGGGGCATTTATATTAAAACTTTGATTTATTGTAGTCAGAATTCTCTACAACAGACTAAGAAGTTTTTTTTTTTCTAAAAGGGATTTTAATAAGTTGTAAATATTGCTTCCAAATTAGTCATTTTAATATTTTTTACTTTTTATTTTTTTGACTCATTGGATTGATTACATTGAATATTAACATTTTTTTCATGGTTCTTTAAATTTTCTGAGATGGTTTTGTATTCTGTTTTTAATCATTTTAATCTTCATTTTAAGAAGGTTCTATGCAAATTAATTGAAAATTAGGGTTTATTAGCATATTAATCAAAATATAAAATTAATTAAATATTTTTTAAATAGAGGTTTCTATTATGATATAAAACAAGAGTAGTTTAACTTCCTAATACTGAAAGAAAATTAATAGTACCTATGGTTACTTGAGAACTTAAAGTGTGTAGTTCTTTCTTGAAAGGTGCTTTAGCACTTTATTCTAACCACTTATATGTTTTAGCTTACTTTTTTAGATAACTAACTCATGCTTTTTATTTAAAAAAAAAAAAAATTCAAGCTGAATACCTGGAACACTTTGGAAAAAAGGGCAAAACAATGGACCAAACTGAGGACAGTTATGCCGGACCATCTACTTCTAAAACCAAGAGCAAATCTCTACATAAAGAACGAGAAAACTTTAGAAGCACTCTGGTTAACATCATTATGTAAGTTGTGTAAGCTAACCAGGGTGTGTTACCCTTGTGAGAGCCCCAGGGAACTTTCTATCTAAAAGTATACAAATTCTGTGCATCTCTTAAGAATGCCTTAAAGCCTTGTTGGAGAGAGGTCAGGGTACAGATAAAGAATGAACGATGGAGCTTCTCCCTGTTAAATGTGTCCCTCTTGGAAATACCATGAGTTGAAGGGGTACTGGTGTGAATTCTGAGGTTGACTGGGCAAGCAGAATGTGTGGGGGTTCTGGTTGCGGCCACTGTGGCTAGTGGCAGATATGGGGCAGTTTTTCCTTTCTCCCCATCTCACCAGCTTGGGTGATGTGGCAGCTTCTCTGGCATTGGGGGCCTCCCTCTCTAGAAAAGGAAGGAACCGGGGCGAAGCAATCAGCAGTGTAAGCGGAGCCGGGCTTGCCTGGTGCGAGTTGTAGGTCCATTCATGAAGAGCAGTGCCGACGCAAGTCACTAATCCCTCTTTACTCATTTCCTCACTGCTTCATGCTAGCTGCTTGGTACACTCTTTCTTTAGGACTCTCAAGGCCCACTCACGGCTATTTGTGGACATAATTTCATGACCCAGTGCAGTACGTAACTCACCCACAGAACCCCGTCTTCCGGCCCCCATGTGGGGCTTTATGGGTCCCATGGCCATCTTGAAGGGAGGACAGTGTGTGCTCTGTGCTTACAAAGGGCAAGGGGATTTTGAGGGAGCCCTGTGCAGCCCGACTGTGGGTGTGTGCCTCTAGAATCTTACCAGCTTGGCCCACTTGTATCCCGTTTTTGGATTAAGCACTCTCACATCCCACAAACAGTATAAAATTAAAAATCAAAATCCAAAACCGTGGGCCAGGTAGGCCTCTAGTTACAAAGCCTTAGAAGCAACTTCTCTACCTAGAAATCTGGCCAAGGGACAGATGATCTTTCTTGACACAGCTTCCTGTGCCTGTCATTTCTCGTCCTTCTCTGGGTGAGGATAGAGCCTGTCTTGGGTTTTAGCTTCACATAGGGGTTCTCACTTTGAATTCTCCATTTCACTCAGTCCTACTCAGAACCTGACCTCCCGATTCACAGGGCGTTAAAGGCCATGGCCCCGGGCTCCAGAGGGTAGCCATAGCATCAGGTTTTTGCTGATTACCATTCCTTTTTTTTTTTAAAACTCCTCTGAGTATTTCCTTTCTTTTTTGTGAGCTCAACTATGCATTCAAAAGGAATGTGTCCTATTATCCAGTGTTTATAGAATGGTATTCGTTTTTCAGATTATCTTTGTTGTTGTATTATAAGAGACCGTAGTCTCTCTTTAGGCATTTTATGTCCTTTTTTAGTTATGCCTTTTATAAACAGGATATGGATGGACATATTGAAATTCGATCTTAGAATTTCTATACTTTAATAGTATGTCCAATCCCATTTATAGTTGTTGGTGTTTCTTATATAAGTGTGCTTCTGCCAATTTATTTTGTACTTTCTGTTTATTGTATGTTGCCTTTGCTTATTTTTTCTTTTTTCTGCTTTCTGTTGAATCGAATTTTCTCTCTTCTCCCATTATTTCTTTCTCTTGGCTTAAAAGCTATCAAATATCTCTATTCTTTTAGTGGGTACCATAATATTTAAAGCCATGTATTTTAATTTATACTTTTTAAAGTTTAAAATTCAATTTTTATCAGTCTTCTCCCTGAATAACACAAAGCAATCTTAGACTGTCCTTACTTAGCTCTAAACTTCCTTTTGCATTTTCCATGTGATCATTCTTCATTTTATTTCTACCAATATTTCTATAGTATTTTCACTCTACCAAGTCCTTAAATTCCCCATACTTTTTTTTTCTTAACACTTAATTTTACTAATGTGTTTTCTAATTCTTTAGGAAATTGTCTTTGCATTCCACTCTTCACTTCTGAGTGCATTTTCTTTTTTGCTGAAGTTCATCCTCCAATAGTTGTTTCAGTGAGGATCTATGAGGAGGAATAAAGTTGAGATTTTTCATCTCCATAAAGTTCTCTGTTTTGTCCTTACTCTTGAATTAATGGCTAAGTTGGCTATAAAATTAAATGATAATCATAATTTTTACCATACACCTGAAAACATTAGATTGAAAAATATTAACCATTATTTTTTGGCATGTATTATTTTCCCCCAGCTTTATTAAGGTATAATTGACAAATAAAAAAATTTCTTAAAAGATTTTATTTATTTGACAGAGACAGAGAGCACCAGCAGGGGGAGCAGGAGGGAAAAGCAGACTCCCTCCTGAGCAGGGAGCCTGATGCGGGGCTCAGTCCCAGGACCCTGGGATCATGACCTGAGCCGAAGGCAGACGCTTAACTGACTGAGCCATCCAGGTGCCCCGACCAATAAAATTAGAATATATTTAGAGTTTATAATGTGAGAATATATATATATATATAGTGAAAGATTCCCACAATCAAGTTAACACATAGATCACCTCCCATCTTCAGCTTTTTTTTTTTTTTTGTAAGAACGCCTGGGTTCTACTCTTAGCAAATTTCAATCATACAATATACTAATATCAACTGTAGTCACCACGGCATGTATTACTGTTGATGAGAAGCCCATGTCACTCTATTTGTCATTACTTTATTTGCAATGTATTTATATTCTGTTGGATATTCTGTCGTCTTTTTTTTTTTTCCTGAACATTTTATTTTCAAAGCCTTCTAGATAGGCTTAAAAACAGCTTTGGGCGCCTGGGTGGCTCAGTCGTTAAGCGTCTGCCTTCGGCTCAGGTCATGATCCCGGGGACCTGGGATCGAGCTCCACATCGGGCTCCCTGCTCCGCGGGAAGCCTGCTTCTCCCTCTCCCACTCCCCCTGCTTGTGTTCCTGCTCTCCCTGTGTCTCTCTCTGTCAAATAAATAAATAAAATCTTTAAAAAAAACAAAAACAAAAAAACAGCTTTACTGAGCTATAATTTACATACCATTAAATTCATCCAGGTTAAATGGACAATTGAATGAATTTCAGTAAATTTTTATGGCTATGCAACCTTAACCAAAATCTAGGTTTAGAATATTTCTATCATCTGTTAAACATTATGCCCATTTCAGTTAATTCTCTCTGCCACTGGTTGCCCCAGGGAATCATTGATCTGTGTTCTGTTTTTAAAAGTTTTATCTTTTCTAAAATTTCATGTAAATGGAATTATACGATATGTATGTTTTTAAAATCCTTTCATTTGGTTTATTGTTTCTGGTTTTGGGCTATTTGAAAATGCTGCTATGAACATCTAAGTGCAAGTCTTTTTGTGGATATGTGTTTTCATTTCTCCTGGGTAGATGCCAAAGTATAGAAATGCTCAATTGTATAGTAGTATATGTTTAATTTTCAAAGACTTTGCTCAACTGTTTTCCAAGTAGCTATACCATTTTACGTTCCCACAAACAGTGTATGGAGAAGTTTCTAGTTTTTCCACATCGTTGCCCACACTTTGGCTAGAATAGGCAAAACAAAACAAAAACCATTCTAGTAGATGTGTTATTTTATCTCATTATGGCTTTAAGTTGTATATCCCTAATGACTAATGATGATAGGTGTCTTTTCTGGTGGTGGTTTGACATTCATAGAACTTCTTTGAAGTGTCTGTTTAAATCTTTTGCCCATTTTTAAATTGGGTTATCTTTTTATTAATACATTCTAAGAGCTCTTGATATATTTCCTATACAGTCTTTTTATCAGATTTATCTTTTGTAAATATTTTCTTCCAGTCTGTGGCTTATCTCTTCTTTTTCTTAATGGTATTTTTTTGGAAAATAAAAGCCTTAAATTTTAAGGAAGCTCAATTTATCAATTTTTTCTTTTGTTGGTCCTTTTGGAGTCGTATCTAAGAATCCTTTCTTATCACAAGATTTTTCTCCCATGTTTTCTTAGAAGGCTATAGTTTTAGCTCTTATACTTATGTACATGATTTAGTTTAATGGCATATCTCTGGTATGAGCTAAGGTTGAGATTTGATTTTTTTTTTCATATAGATATGCAAATGTTTCAGCCCCTTTGTTGAAAAGACTATTCCCATTGAATTACCTTGGCACCTTTGTCAAAAATCATTTGAGCATATAAGGGGTTCTATTTCTGTTCCCTTGCTCTATATGTCCATCTTTACCTCACTACCATGCTGTCTTGATCACTGGAGCTTTATAGTAAAGTTTCAAATTAGTTTAAATTCACAACATTTACTATCCATTTTCAAAATTGTTTTGGCTATCCTAGGTATTTTGCATTTTAAACATGTGAAGACTAGCTTGTCAGTTTCTGAAAAACAAAACAACAACCTAGGATTTAGTATCCAATTGCATTGTTATCGGTAGGTCAATTTTGGGATAATTGCCATTTCAATAATATCGAGTCTTCTGGCCCATAAACCTGTTATTTTTTTTCACTTATTTAGCTTTTCTTTAACTGCTCTTAACAGTGTCTTGTATTTTTTAATGTATGAATCTTGTACTTCTTTTAAAAATATCTTAAGTATTTTTTGATGTGGATGGAATTATTTAATTTTCTGATTGTTCCTTGCCAGTATATAGAAAAATCAATTGATTTTTACTTACTGGCCTCACATCCTAAGACCTTACTAAAACTTGCTTACCGGTTCTGCAGCTTTTTAATGGATTCCATGGAAATTCCTGTATATACGATTATGTTGACTTTTACTTCATTTCCGATGCCTTTCATTTTTCTCACTTCCCATTTTGCACTTGTTAGTTTCCAGCATATTGTTGAATAGAATTGGTGATAGTGGACTTGCCAGTCGTAGTGGAAAAGCATTCAGTCTTTCACGTTTATGTAGGATGTTAGCTGTAGGTTTTTAAGATACCCTTTATCAGGTTGAAAAAGATCCTTTTTGTCTAGCTGGTTGAGAGATGTTACCATAAATGAGTGCTGGATTTTTGTCAAATGCTTTTTCAGTGTCCATTGAAATGAGAATTAGGTTTTTATCCTTTAATCTTTTAAAATAGTATATTACATTAATTGCTTTTCATGTTAAAGCTTGCATTCCTTTCACTTAGTCATTATGTATAATACTTTTTGTATGTTGCTGGATTTGATTTGCTAATATTTTGTTAAGAATTTTCAAGTCTATGTTAATGAATGATATGGGTCTGTACTTTTGTTGTCATGCCTGGCGTTAGGCCTCAAAATGAATTGGGAACTGTTTTTACCTCCTTTGTTTTCTGAATGGGTTTAGGTAGAATTAGTATTATTTCCTCCTCCTTTGATGGAACTTTTTCTAAAGTAGGCTCCATGCCCAGTGTGGAGCCCAATGTCGGGCTGAACTCACGATCATGAGATCGAGACCTGAAGTGAGAACAAGAGTTGGATGCTTAAATGACTGAGCTACCAGGGGTCCCTGGATAGAAATTTTTGAAGCCATCTGGACCTGAAGTTTTCTTTGTGGGAAGATTATTAACTACTAATTTAATTAGTTAACTTGATATGTATCTATTCAGATTTTCTTTCTTCTTGAGTCATGTTTGGTATTTTTGATTTTTAGGAATCTCTTTTTCACTTAAGTTGTCTAATTTGCTGGCGTAAATTTGAGATAACTTCCTTATTTTCAGCCATTCTACTCATTTGCTCCTTTAGCACCTGCTGACTACAAGACCAGAGCCTTTTCCAAGGATCTCCTAGGTGGACTGGTTGCTTTCCTGCATGAGTTAGGGGCTATGGTGTTTTCAACCCTGTTTTATCTGTCCTCTCTCTTCTCTTCATGTTTCAGAAATTTGTTGAAATATCTCCTCAGCTGATGACCCTCTAGTCTCTTTACAATCATTGGTTAAAATTACTACCGTGTTCACAAGAAAACTTGAAAAAAAGGATGTTTTTGCTACCATCTTGACTCAAAATCACTATTGATTAAATAAAGAGAAAATCAATATAGTTTTCATTTTCAGGAAATAAGGCACACCATATTTTCTCTTTAGTCAGGTAAAATGTCTCCTATATTGATTTATTTCTGAAAGGAATATTGTTCTGCTGGAAAGAGCATGGCAGTTTGGAAGCACATATGGATGGGCAAATCCTTATTTTTTGTACTTAATGAACTGTGACAAAGGGGAAGTTAGTGAACTTGACATTCAGTGTCTCATCTGTGAAGTGGGAATAATTTCTCTGTCTACTCTAACAATAGGTGTGAGGATTAGAGATAATGTATGTGAAACTATTGAGGGCCTAAGTAGGTGATCAATAAAAAAGTTTTTATTATTGTTTCCAGCAAGCAGAATCTTTGCCTCTAGCCACAGAATGACTGAATCCTAGAGTTTTAAAGCTGAAAGATCTTCATGATTACTGTAAAAGCTTCTGCAGCTGCCCCCGTAGCCCCCAACCTTCTTCCTCCTCACCTCCCCTGACCTTGCTCTTTTAGGCAGGCATTACTCATACAGAGGATGAAACTTATTATGTTCTTTGGGTTCAGCAAGGTATATAACATGAGCATTTCTGCCATTAAAAAACATCAACAACACAGTTATTAGGGTCATACACTTTAGGGTGGCAGAATCTGCATGCAGGTGTCCTAATTCCTGGTCCATTACTGTCCCATTAGTAACACTTTACAATCAAAATAATGAGAAAAGACTACTTTTGTACTTAGAATAATCAACCCTTCTCACTCCAACTACAGAACACCTTGAAGATCTTCCACTGCTTTTATATTCATATTCCCTCATTTGATAAACATTTATTGAACACCCACTATGTACTGAACTAAACTGAGACATTGCATTGGCTCTTTTCCCTGTTTCATATAATTGAAAAGAATGATTATAAAGTTCACAAAATATTTGATTCCTGGATTTGCAAAAGACAGAATAATTTAGAAGATGCATCCTGGCACCTCTCTTAGTATGGTCTCTCAGACAGATATTCAATAAACCTCCAGTCTCCACTCACTGAACAGTTAGTGGGAGGGACTATTTTATTATATAGCATCACTGACTTGTATCCATCCCAGATGAAGTCTCAGGATCCATAGCTTGTTACAGTCAATGATAAAGAAGTTAAAGCTCTCCGAGAATAAATTCTTATTTTTCATGAACATGTGACCTATGTCTTTCTCCACTGTGGTGCCCCAGAAGAAGTCATAAACTGTGGCCTGTAGGGGCACCTGTGTGGTTCACTTGGTTAAGTGTCTGCCTTGGGCTCAGGTCATGATCCCAGGGTCCTGGGATCAATCCTGCATCGGGTTCCCCACTCAGTGAGGAGCCTGCTTCTCCCTCTCCCTTTGCTGCCACCCCGCCCCAGTTTGTGCTCTCTCTCCACCCCCCTCCCTCAAATAAGTGGAATCTTTAAAAAAATAAAGACACATGTGATTTTAAAAAAATGTGGCTTGTATCTTGTATAGAGTTTGAATTGAATTACAGCTATCAACATTGTCCATTTATGGACAGTTAGCCAATAATAAATACATAGGAACATATAAACTATGTTACTCTTTGCGAGCTTATACTGTATAACTCTAGATATCTGAGAAACGATCTATTCAAGAATGTATCTGTCTTTGGCAAAACTACATCAGTGCTCTTTTAAATACCTTATTTATAAATAACCATACATATTTTAGTAATAATGCAAGAACGCTCTTATAACATTTCAAAGAAGAGAGAGCTTGAGTTTGGAGTAATGAGGAAGAATGAGTAAGTCATCAAGAAGAATGTAGCCTCTGGATTCGGTCTTGCAAATCACTTCCAAAGAACTGTCTCTTTATGAATAAAGAGAAAGTGTTCTGGGTGGAATGTGGTACCAAATATGTGTTATATGCACTATTAATAAAATGTTCAACAATTCATTTTTTTCTTAAGATTTAGTAGAAGACAGTCCTGAAGTTTTGACAGTAGACCCTTAAACAACTTAGGGGTTAGGGGCACTGACCCCCACCACAGTTGAAAATTCACATATAGCTTTTGACTCTCCAAAAATTTAACTACCAATAGCCTGCTGTTGACCAGAAGCCTTACTGATAATATAAACAGTCATTTTACACATTTTTTTGTTATATGTATTATGTACTGTATTTTTACAATAAGCTAAAGAAAATATTTAGAAAATCATAAATTACATTTACAACACTCTATTGTAAAAAACTGTATGTGAACCCATACATTCAAACTTGAGTTGTTCCAGGGTCAAGTGTATATCCATTGATGTATATTCTAACTGCCCTTCGTGTACGATTGAATAGTGTGTTTATCATTTTCTTAGGCAACAAGATGCTGTGTTAGACTCAGCTAGCCCTGATGAAAGCATATTTCCAAAACCGACCACTTCTGCAATAGAGAAGGACATCTTGGTAATGGGCTGTCTCTTTTGTCAGTATACTTGAATGTAAAAGAAGCACTTGAAGATGCTTTTAAACCTTTGAGCTTACTCTGTGCTCCTCTCTTGTGGAACTCTGTGGGCATAGGAGTAAATACGGAGTTCCAAAAAATTGCTCTATGGGATTAATGGGGGAAATCATTCTCTCCCTTGCCATCTAAGACCACAACAAAAGAATCTCATTTACCTGCTCCCTTTGTTAGAATGAGCCTCAGTCCTGTATAACTTTTATGTGTCTTTATTCTTCTATGAGAAACTATCTTATGTACACTTTACAAAGTATATTAACTTACTTTAGAAATATAATCTAGTTTTCAAATACAGGAGAATTTCTAAAAATGTAAATATCAAAGACACTAATTTGAAAGTATTTGGAAAAACTACTTGGATGTTTAAAATTTTTCTAAAAGTGACATGTAGGGGCGCCTGGGTGGCTCAGTCGGTTAAGCGGCTGCCTTCGGCTCGGGTCATGATCCCAGGGTCCTGGGATCGAGCCCCGCATCGGGCTCCCTGCTCAGCGGGGAGCCTGCTTCTCCCTCTCCCACTCCCCCTGCTTGTGTTCCCTCTCTCGCTGTGTCTCTCTCTGTCAAATAAATAAAATCTTTAAAAATAAATAAATAAATAAAAGTGACATGTAAAAATTTATGAAAATATATCAAAGTTAAATGTCTATTGTTAGAGAAATACTATCATGCCTTAAAATGAATATTTATGTATACATTTAATAGCAGCTGTAAAATTATAATATGGACTATTAATTGGCCAACTGGAAATTTCCTAAATCCTGCCATAGATTTCTAAGCTTAATGTGTAGAGATATTGATTCACTTGCAGCTTATAAGATCGACTTGATTATCAATAATAAAAGGACAAAAACTAATTTACCACATTTTCACACATTTATAAAGCACTAAATTCTGCTTCAGCATGTGTTCTTCTTAGTACATCATATTTGGTAATATAACTTGATATTTTACATTGTAGTTATGAACTGAGATAAGAGCTTTAATTTTCATGAAATGCCCTATATATTTTTTTTAATTTAGGGGATCTCAATTCCTCCACGAATTACACAAAATACTTTTTTATGATTTGTAAATACTTTTTTTGCCTAAAACTTTGATTTTTGCTCAGTAGTTTTATTTTTGATGAACACATTTCTTTCATTATAGGACTAAACCCATCTATATTTCTCCATCTTCTTTATGCAGAGATATTACTATTATATTCACCATGGAATTGATACAGACCATGTAGCCCCAATGGAAGATTCTTGGCTAGAACATGTATTGAATTTAGTCCCCCAACATCTGAAAGTCCTCACCAACAGCATACTTGCATTATCTGATGAAATGAGAGAAGATTATCATCTTAGTGTAAAAAAATCCATAGGTAAATCAGTATTTTTGTTTTCTAATTTGAATGTGTCTTATTAATTGAATGTTAATACCTACACTTGAAATTATTACATTTATTCCGCTTTTTGCATTTCTATTTAATTGCTTAAGATCTTAGGCAAGTTTCATTAAGTACAGCAAAAAAAATTTAAACTCCATCTTTTTTTTTTTTTTGGTAGGGCTATATCCACTCAGTAAAGGACAGAACTGAAGAAATTCTAAAATTTAATTATTTAATTAACATTAATATTATTGATAACATAAATTAGAAGGCGATTAATTAAAAATTGTTGTTATGGACCAAAGGTTGACAAACTACAGCTCACAGGTCCATTCTGGCTCACTGCCTGTTTTTGTAAATAAATTTTATTGGAATACAGTCCTACGCATTCATTTGCACATGGTTTGTGGCTGCTTTGGATCTATAAGAGCAGAGATGACTACTTGTGATGGAGACCTTGTAGTTCATAAAATTGAAGATATTTATATTCAAGCCCTTTACATAAAAAGTTTGCTGATTCCTGGTATAGACCACTGGATTGTAAGACTGACTAATCATCTGAATCATTTTTCACATACTGATTTCTGAATCTATCTGAATTAAAATCTCTGGAGGCAGGGCCTTTGAATCTATACTTTTAAAAGAAGTTCTCCAATTAATTGGGATTGTAAAACTGATACAATTGATGCTGTGTCCAAAGCTGGAGAAATCCTCGTGTTTTGGAGTTGTCTGGGGACCTTTTGGGTAGGAGGGCATTTACCGTATTTAAGACTCTTATTGAGTGTCCTGGTAATGTAAAAATGAAAAGTCAAATCTTTGCTCCCAAGGAGTTCATTGTTGAAATAATGGAGAGGGACAAATCACTAATTACAAAGTAGAGCAGTAGGCTCAATAAGGAGGGAAATGGAGGACATGTTGTAAGGGAGAGACGCTCATGCCTGAGTTGGTAGGAAGAACTCTGGACGTGCCTGAACCATCTTGAAACACAAACCGAACACAAGGGAGTACTCTCACTGAGAAAATGGTGTGAACTGTGGTAGACACACGTGAAAGGCTCTTCAGGCTTGCAAGCAGCCGTGACGTCCAAAGCATAGGGTGCATTTGGGAAGAGGACAGAATCTGAAGGGCCTTCTATGCCTTTTTAAAGCATTCATAGTTAAAGCAGAGCCACCAAAGGATTTTAAACAGATGGATGTTAATGCATTGGTATTTTAGAAAGAGCATCTTAAAGGTAGGAAAATTAGAATTAACTGTGAATTAATGGCCACAGAAGATAGAAGCAGAAGTAGCTCCCTTTACTGATTTTATAACAGGATTGTTATATGCAACTTAAAAGAAAACAAAACAGTATGTAAGTTTCCTCAGTGAAAGGAAACTACTATGATTCTGTATTGCCGGCCTTCAATGAATACTACTTTTGGTAGAATAGCTATGAAGGAAAATGTAATTTTGAAACCAATTATTACTTTCTAATGAAATAATAGGGACCTGTTGTTAAGAGAGGGAACATAAACTCTCAAAGACACAGACATCATAGGTTTTCCTTAAGTATTTTTATTGTCATACATGCACAAATGGCTCCATTATTTTAAATAACATAATTTAAATAATTCCTTTTAGTGGAATTAGTTTTGCAATTGCTTGGAATATGCCATAATTGATATAAGGATATTTATCAGAACTTTTCAATTTTCTTTTAGTTGATTTTGTTTTGAAAGATCCTAGGGAAAAAGAAGATGATAAAAAAACAGATGAAATTCTACCCCATCGTGCAGAGTAAGTGACCAAGTTTCTCTAAGAATATTGATTATATGACTGTTCCTGTGCATGTGTATATATTTATACACTGGTTATATTTGTCATATATATATATATCTTTGACTTACATACTTCATATATACAACTGATTATTCTTATTATGTTTATGTATTTAAGCCCTAATACGTTCTGTTTACAAATCTATGGGTAGATGGATGGATAGACATATGGATACCTATGTGGTTAAAACATAAGTACCCTGGTGAAAGAACCTGATATAGATCTTTGTATTTCGATGGCTACTACCACAGGCTTCAGATATAATAGGGATATAAGAGCTTGACGGCAATTGGAATGCACAAAATCATACTGGGAACATTGCAGAAAATATGTGTGTATATAGAATATAGAATATAGAATATAGAATATAATTACATAGATTAAAATATAGGACACGTAATAGAAAAATACACTTGCTATATATTTTCCCTAAATAATTAACATTTAGGAATAAGTCTCTTAAATAGTTTGAAGAATAGAACTTATATTTTTATGATTTAGTAAATAATTCAGTTTTGCTTCTTTCATATTATTTAAAAGTGCCTCAGATTGTTTTCCTATAATTGCAAGAAAAAATTATGCAGTCATTTCCAACATATCTTATGTGGAGAATAGCTTTTCTCCTGGGAAGAGACAAAAATCATCTTTTGTAATTGTAAAAGTGGTATGACTACAATTGAAAAACTGAGTTAAGCTTATTATATAATAAAGCAAGATTAAGTGTTTAAAATCATGACAATAAAAAAATTGTATGCATAAAATATAAATGTTTAAATATACGCTGAAAGATGAAAATGGCATATTTTTAATGTATTAAGGATGACTATTTAAGTCATAGAAGTTACAGAGTAAATGTCTTCAAATAAGGACGTTAGCGTTGGTGATTTTGGAAGTGTCCTTTATACATTAACAGAAGTTAAGTTGAAGGGGATTTCCACAGGCAGCCTGGACTGTATTTTTAAAATGTTTAAAAAAAAACCAAACACCCAAATTTAAACATTTTGTGTATTGAAATTAAGTCTTTCAAGATGTATATGAAAAAAAGCTGGTTACTGTTTCTATTTGATCATTTCGAGTTATTTGTGAACTTGATCAAGTATTTAAAGGAAAAATAATTACCTTATGATTCAAGTCTATGGGGCACCTGGCTGGCTTAGTCGGAAGAGCATGTGACTCTTGACCTTGGGGTTGTGAGTTTGAGTCCCCATGTTGGGTGTAGAGATTATTTAAATAAATAAAATTTAAAAAAAGATTCAGGGGTGCTGGTTAGCTCAGTTAGTTGAGCTTCTTCCTTCAGTTCAGGTCATGCTCTTGTGGTCCTGGGATTGAGCTCTGTGTGGGGCTCCCTGATCAGTGGGGAATCTGCTTCTCCCTCTCCCTTTGCCCCTTCCCCCTGATTGTGCGCTTGCTCTCTCTCAAATAAATCAATCTTAAAAAAAAAAGATTCAAGTATAATTTCATATGTGTTAATTATTCTAAAATTATATGACTTAGACCATAGAAAGTATGGCCTTCATGTATCTTAATACATAATTATATGTTTTGTTTTTACTGTAAGGGATACATAATATTTTTTATTAAAATGAAACCATTATTGGGGTGCCTGGGTGGCTCAGTGGGTTAAGCGATCCACTCTTGATTTCAGCTCAGGTCAGGATCTCAGGGTTGTGAGACTGAGTCCCAAGTCCCAAGGCTCTGTACTGGGTGTGGAGCCTGCTTAAGGTTCTCTCTCTCCCTCTGCCCCTCTTTCCCCACTCTCTCTCTCTAAAGAAAAAAAAGAAACCATTATTACTCAAAAAGTACACTGTAACAATACTTTCTTCTGATTTTTAGAGATAGCTGATTATTTTTTCTTTGTTTTCAGAATGGAAGTTCTTCCAAAACCTTGGAGGAAATCTTTTTTAGCTGCAAGCAATTATATTAAGGATCACTTGAACACAATGAACCCCACAATGTTGGCTGTGCTAGATTTATGGCACAGTACTTTTAAGTGAGTACTTCTGGCTTTCTCAAGCTTCTTTTTAAAAGGGCGATAAAAGCTATTTTGTCCCACCTCAATGATTTCTTTTACTATTTTAACTGCAAATAAAAAGAAATAACTACAAACTTACCATCAGTATTCAAACATGGTTTTAAATCAGCAATGTAGAGGTAGAGTAAATCATGAACGTTGCCTTTGACCTCTAACCCAACTATGCCCCACACACCCCATACCTCATTACTACACAGACTTTAAGGGGTAATCACAGTTAAGGGGCTGAAGTGTCATGCTTTATTTTAAATCCCACGGACCATTAGCTGCTACAGTCATCTAGATGGTGTAGGAACCTAGGAAACATAGTCTACCTGAATGGCATGAGTTAAAGTTCCTGGGTGACAGCTGGAGGTTATGCATCACCTCCTGGACACTGTCACAGCGGGGACGGTATCGCTACACGTAGCAAGTGCTTGGCACAGCTGCATGTGGATGCTGGTGGGCGCCGTGGAGCTGACATGCTTGCTTCTCAGGCTGAGGCCAGTTGATCACACAGTTTAGAAGCTCCTGCTTCATATTCCCTCCACCCTTGCATGACCTCTTCCAAGGCACGGGGAGCATCCTAGCAACATGCACCTGGGGACACAGGTTTTATAAAATGTGCATAAGTAATACAGATTTATATTTATTTTTCTTATACAAGACCTCCCTTCAGGAACCTCAAAACCCCAATCAGTCCTGCCTTATGCTAGAGGAGGCACCTTGTCTCTCAGGTGGTCTTACCAGCCCTGCCCCAGCCTTTTCAATCCCCACAGATGCAGCTCCGGTGACAAGTGACCTGCTCTCCAGGGTCTCCTGGTTTCTACCGCATGTGTTGTTCTGCAGGCAGGAGGGCACAGCAAATGAGCACATTTTTCTGCCTCCCAAAACCTGCAAAAGGAAATCGGCTGTCTTTAGAGCGGTGCTAAGAGCTGTGACCGTGCCGGAAGGCAGCTGTTGGCCCCACCCTGGGAAACCCCGGGACACGCACTAGGGGCACCTCCCTGACCAAATTCTCTGAACTCCTTCCAGAGTTAGGATCTTTAGCCTGCCACTTCTAGCCCTACCCCTGATGTCCGCTGCAGGAAGCCGAGCTCCTTGCCTGGGCTCTGCCACCATCTGATTATAGGCTCTCTGTTCCCCCCTTGTCCTTGCTGGGACTCTGTTTTCCCACAGGTAGAATGACCTGTGCTGTCCAAGGCCTCTTGCCTCCCTCACTCTGTCCCTGTCTGCCTTTTTAAAAACAAATTTTAATTAAATATGCAGCTACATATGTAACTTTATATAAACATGTAAATGTGATCATATAAACATTTTAAGTCTAGTCTTACTTTGCCTGACTTCCACCAGCCTTTCTTTTCCTCATCTCTGTCCTCCTTTCCACCAGCGCAGCCAAAGACCCATGATAACCATCTAGTGGGATATCTTTCCTTATTTTTCTTTGTGCTCATATTATCAAATACATATGTGTATCCACACACATGCACACATATACATAGCATAAAAATGGCTTTTGTTCGTCAGACTGCATACTGTTAGATAGAACATCTTTCAGCTTTCTGTTGTATAATGTAGATTTCTTTGCTTGAATTTGGCTTCTGGAATAGGAAGAGGCTATCTCCTTGCCCGTGTTCTTCTCATTTCTTCTCTTTTGAATATCCCTCTCCTGACAAGACCCATGATTTAATTTTGCATGCAGTCATGAGGTCATACTATGTAGTATCACTCTCACAAAGGATGTTTGCATACAGTGGTACATTTCATTTTTACAACACCACCAGAGTTGTTTTATTTTATATCCATTCACAGATATGGATATCTTTGGAACTGCCAGGACACACTGCGTTGGATGCTGGGGGATGAGGCTACAGTGCCTAGTATCATCCATAAAGGGCTAGACTTTGTTGGACCATGTCAGGAGGCAAGAGACAAGAAAATGAGAGGAGGAAGGGGAAGAAAAAGGGAACAAAGTTGAGCTCAAAAAACAGTCAACAATGGATGTGTCCAAACTTGGTGCCCATGGTCATAGTGGCAGAAGTATTAGTAGTAGCAACTGAAGGCAAGCCTCAGGGCATCTGGGGTGAAGACAAATGAGAAAGAAGCTTTGCAGTCTGTGGGTAGGAAGAGGACTCCACCAACTCCAAAGTTGCCCTTGTAGACATGAGTCATTTTTACTTGATGTGAATGTTGAATGGGGCGGGCAGTCAAGAGTACTGCCCCTCGGAGTAGAAGCCAGCATTGAACATAAAGGGCATCCTTCCTGTAGGTGACAGTTTGTCCTGAATCTCAGCAGGTCTTGAAAATATGGAACATCTCTATGTGTGGCAGTGGGCTGGGGAATGGTAATGCAAAAGTCATCTGAATGACTGCACAAATACGTGAGTGTGGAAACCTGAAGGGGATGTTTGGAGATGGGAATGTGCAAGTTCATGTCCTTCAGTAGTTAGATTGACAGAGACCACTGAATGTCAGAGATAGCATTTGTAATACAGTCACAAGCTACACAGCATACAGGTATTTTTGCTTGAAAAATAGTGTGTATATATGAAGATGCGTGTATAGCGTGTGTGTACATATATGTGGAAATTACCACAGGCAACGAATTACAGTAGTTGAATATAAAAGGAAGATGTCGGGACACCGGGGTGGCTCAGTCAGTTAAGTGTCTGCCATTGGCTCAGGTCAGGATCCCGGGGTCCTGGAATCGAGTCCCTCATAGGCCTCCTTGCTCAGCGGGGAGCCTGCTTCTCCCTCTGCCTGCCGCTCCCCCTGCTTGTGCTCTTTCTCTCTGACAAATAAAATCTTAAAAAAATAAAAATAAAAGGAAGATGTCTAAGAAAGTGAAGCCTTGGGGCGCCTGGGTGGCTCAGTCAGTTAAGCTTCTGCCTTTGGCTCAGGTCATGATCCCAGAGTGCTGGGATCGAGCCCCGCATCGGGCTCCCTGCTCGGCGGGAAGCCTGCTTCTCCCTCTCCACTCCCCCTGCTTGTGTTCCCTCTCTTGCTGTGTCTCTCTCTGTCAAATAAATAAATAAAATCTTTAAAAAAAAAAAAAAAGAAAGTGAAGCCTTATGTTACCCACCCTCCATTCCCTCCCTTAGGCAACCATCAATCTGTTCTCCATATCCATGAGCTCAGTTTTTGTTGTTGTTTTAGATTGCACGTAGGAGATTATAAAGGTATTTGTCTTTCTATGTAACACTTCACTTAGCATAATGCCTTAGGGGCCATCCATGGTGTCTCAAATGGCAAGATTTCATTCTGTTTTATGGCTGAATAATATTCCATTGTGTATATATATACCACATTTCTTTATCCATCAATGGACATTTAGGTTGTTTCCATGTTTTGGCTATTATAAATAATGCAATGAACATGGAGGTGCATGTATGTTTTTGAATTAGTGTTTTCATTTTCTTCAGATAAATATCCAGAAGTAGAATTGCTGGGTAATAATCTGGTAGTTTTATTCTTTATTTTTTGAAGAACCTCCATATTGTTTTCCATAGTGGCTGCACCAATTTACATTTCCACCAACAGTGCACAAGGATTCTCTTTTGTCCACATTCTCACCAATGCTTGTTGTTTCCTATCCTTTTTTAATATCCCTTCTAACAGGTGTGAGGTGATAATCTCATTGTGGTGTGATTTGTATTTCCCTCATGATTAGTAATGTGAACATGTTTTCACCTGTTAGCCATCTGTATGTCTTCTTTGGAAGAATGTCTATTCAGATCCTCTGCCCATTTTTTAATCAGATTTTTTTCTATTGAGTTGTATGTGTTCTTTATAAATTTTTGATATTAACCCCTTATCAGTAAAAGGTTTGCAAATAAATATTTTCTCCCATTCAATAGATCACCTTTTCATTTTGTTAATGGTTGAATTTTGTTGTGCAGAAGCATTGTAGTTTGATGTAGACCCACTTGTTCATTTTTTGCTTTTGTTGCCTTGGCTTTTGGCATCAGATCCAAAAAAATCATTGCCAATACTCGTGTCCTGGAGCATACCAATGTTTTTTTCTAGGAGTTTTATGGTTTCAGGTCTTACATTCCTGTCTTTAATCCATTTTGAGATAATTGTTGTGTATGGTGTAAGATAGGGGTTCAGTTTCATTCTTTTGCATGTGGCTGTCCAGTTTCCCCAACAGAATTTTTTTTTTTTTAAAGTAGGCTCCACATCCAGCATGGAGCCCCCAACAGAAACTTCTTAAATGTGTAAATCATGTATATAACAAAGATCCATAGCATTGTAGTCAGAAAAGGAGTTGTATGGAAAGCTGTTGACTAGAGGAAGCACTGTGGTTTCTTAAAAAAAAAAAAGGTCGTAAGGGAGACAAACCATGAGAGACTCTGGACTCCAGGAAACAAACTGAGGGTTACAGAAGGGAGGGGGTAGGGGGATGGGGTAACCGAGTGATGGGTATTAAGGAGAGCACGTGTTGTAATGAGCACTGGGTGTTACATGCAAATAATGAATCGTTGAACACTACCTCAAAAACTAATGATGTACTATATGTTGGCTAACTGAACATAATAAAAAAAGTCAAAACCACACAGGATCAAAAGATTTTGATACAGTAGGTGTTAATTAGGTGTGAGAATTCCCCCACTCCATGGCTCCCTAAAATGCAAGGTGGTTTTCTTTTCAGAGTGGGTACAATTTTTGTTTCAGGAGTAGTGGGCTGTCTTAAACTTTGAGCTTTACCTCTTTTCCTGTTGTAACTGTTCCAATTTGAAAACAAAAATCAGTCCGGGGTGCCTGGGTGGCTCAGTTGGTTAAGCCACTGCCTTCAGCTCAGGTCATGATCCTGGAGTCCCGGGATCGAGTCCCGCATCGGGCTCCCTGCTCGGCGGGGAGTCTGCTTCTCCCTCTGACCCT